ATCCATCAAAAGATACTTCTATTTGCTTTTTTAGAATTCCTTGATGTTTGGCAAAAATCTCCTGAAACCTTTCAGCGTATAAATATCCAGGCTGTTTTAATGGCCAACCTCTTAAATAAACTGTTTTCATAGGATCCAAAGAATTCAAAGTCATTGTAATATTTTCTTTATAAATTTCTTAATTTTGTAAACGTTTAATAAAATAATTGGGGTAGAAAGCTCCAGCAAGAGCAACTTGAAGCACAAAATCACGATCTGCACCTAGAAATAGAATGGAAAAGTATAATTAAAAATAATTAGAAATAATTAAGAATAAAAGAATATAAGTAAAAATTAAATTATTTAATAAAGAACTAAATGTTAAATAATTAAATGTACCTTGCCAGATGACTTTATTTACTCCTATACTCTCTTTAATTCCAAATCTCTGCAATCTAATGGTGATTTCGTTCACCAGAGCATCTAATTCACGCAAGACTCTTGTTTGGAATCCATTTCTCTGGGCCCACTGTCTCTCGGCTTGATAAGAATTTAATCGCCGATTTGCTTTTTCATTCTGCCACATCTTGTAAACATTTAAAGTAGCAATGCAGTCACTATCAGAACCGTAGGCCCATTTTTTCCGAGTTGTATAAGAAGAAACAGTGGAATGGCATTGCTCCAAAGAGAAGACGTCCTTAATAGTCATGCTGGCTCCCAAAATAATAGCATCTCGTAAGACTCCGAAAACATGCCCCAACATAATCAATTTCGAAATTCGAATGTCGAGCGGAAGAGTCGCCATTACTCTGCCGAGATCGGTTAAATTTCCGTCAAACATTTGAAAAGAGTCGCCTTCATCTACCAAGGCTCCAACTTCTTTTAAGCTCAAAATGGTATTTGCTAAATTGGAAAGTGTAGGTGGATCAAGAGAATGTGAAAGAAGAATACGTGGCTCATCGAGATCAAGGATTTTGGCTCGAAGGACGACATTGGCGAGTGGGGCGCGAAGTATTTCTGGTACGCAGTAGTCATCAAAAATATTCTGTAAATTTTATGAGAAAGCGATTAATAAGTATTACACAAGAAAAATTTAATGCATGAATTCTGATAAATTATACGCGTGTATATCACTTGTAGATCTTAACAAAAGTGCTATATACAATGAGATATAAATAAAATTATAGTAAAATCTTTTATATTATTTATTGACTATTAAATATACGATTTAGAATTCTATTTATAAGTTTTGTCTTATACTTCAATAGTAGCGTAATATTATATGCTTATATAAAATGTAACTTACGTCATAAAATGCTTTTGGTACTAATCTATACACTCTGCCATCCATTACACGACCTGTGCGACCAGCTCGTTGTATACAATTTGTTTTACTCGCCCAACATAGTTGCAAACTTTGATAATGAGTCGCGGGATCAAATGTCAGCAGTTTTGTAAGACAAAAATCTATCACTATAAATTATACATATTAATTAATCACTTCCTTTTACTTTATCAAATACTATATTTACTAGTCAAATACTATAAAATAATAACGTTCATTTATATTAGTTTATTATATACTTTTACATATTATTTTACATTTTAATACTTTTGTCTCTCTCTCACTCTCTCTCTCCAATTAAACATTTTCATTGTCTCAAGAATTATGATAACATACAATTTATAAAAAATGCATATTTACCATATTTTACATCTGGTACAGTGATACTGCTTTCAGCAATATTTGTAGAAAGTATAATGCGTCTATAACCTTCCAGTGGTTTTTGAAAAACACGATGCTGCTCGTGATCATCAGAAACCAATGAATGCAAAATCGTTAGGTCCCATAATTTATTTTGATGATAAGTTGACGACAAGTAATTATATAATTCCTCAATCTCATAAATTCCTGGTAAAAATATAAGAACGGCATGTCTCTGAGATGAATTTAAATCTTTTTCGTTATCATTTATATCAATTTCATCTAGAGCGTTGATAATAAGTGAACAAAAATTGAGCATCTTTTGAGTGACCTTTGGTTCCATGACAGATACTTCTGGTATCTATAAAATACACATTTATTATATACTTTATGTACAAATCTTTGTTATACAAAAATTTATGAAATTTGTAATATTAATATATAATTTTAAATTAATCTCGATGAATAATAAAATAATAACATATCATATAATACACCAAATCATACATTATAAATAAGTATTTTTCGTAATCTGTACTCACACTTCCTAAATTTTTGATTTCATCCAAATAATATGTACGAATCTCAAAATTTTTCTTCCCAGGAATCTTGAGAATTGGCGCCGGGATTAATTCATTTTCTACTATTGAAGAAAAATATTTTGCAAATTTTATTACATTAATTGTTGCTGACATGAGAATAACTTTGACTTGTCCAGAATTTGTTTGCAATAATCTTTTAACAACTAATAGAAGAAAATCCAAATTTTGATCGCGTTCATGAATTTCATCTAATATAACATGAGTATAGTCCAACATGTGTTTATTGTGAATCAAATGTTGAAGGAGAATTTCAGTGGTGCAATAAGTTAGACGGGTTTCATGCGAGACTTCCTTTTGCATACCCACCTGATAGCCTACAAGGCTACCAAGACGCCAATTTCCTTCTTGGCTCACTCTTTTGGCAATACTTATAGCAGCAATTCGTCTCGGTTGTGTAACTATATTAACATTGTAATTTTTTTAATAATTTTTACATTTTAATGTATATATATATTAAAATTTTTTATCATATGATATTTATAAATAAAAGATAAACCTATAATATTGCAATTGAGTCTCTTTTTAATATTAGCATCAAGAATGAATTGTGGAATTTGAGTGGTCTTTCCACAACCAGTTGGCCCTTGGATGATGATTACCGAATTCGTCTCGATTATTGAGATTATCTTATCCCTCATAGACAGAATAGATAAATCATTAGATTTTGGATTGTAAGTAAAACTGCATTCTCGATAGACTTTAGCCAGATCTTCTTCATAAAGACTTTGCAGACTGTCTTCTAATTCTTCTGTCATATTTAAATTACATTTCTTTCTATTTTCATCTCTTTGGTTCATGTACTAGAATGAATATAGAAACATAACAGATGACATAATTCCTCTTCTTGTATTCTTCCAGGATAAACATCTTTTTAAGTACCTCAATTGATATTCATAATAATATACATATAAATAAATAAAATATATATAATTTTAAATACAAATTGGCTATAAAAAAATTATATGTGTAATGAATAATAATCTTTTTACTCTTAAATACTCCTCGGCTTCTACTTCTGTGTAATCTTTCACATAAGTTTCCTCCATGGATTGAATAGATATCAAATGATTGTTCTTTCCACTTGAGAAATCCAGTTTTAAAAATTGATTACTTTTACAGGCTTACTAATCAATTATCTGTATAAAATCTACAAAAAATGATATGTTACAATAATACCATAATTAAACAATTATGTATTAAATTACTTGTGCAGAATTACAATACTACTCTACAATACAAACTACTAAAAGAGTTATTATTACTATCGCTAAGTTTCATTGATTTAATTATCGATATGAGAGAATAAAGTCTGACAAATCTTACATTCACACAATAGAAGCCTGCTTGGACAGTGGACTACAAAACATCCACACTTATTTACTGTAACCGACTGAATACTGCGAATACTTTATTAACCGTGATTGAATATAGTATATATTTTCCAGTAAAGACACAATCAACATGTGTACAGGTTTGCACAGTGAATTGTTTTCATTCTTATTTGACGTAGGTAAACAAGGATGTAATGAGTTTCAAGCTGCAAAGCGGCTAAGCATGTTTATTGAGCGATTATATGATTGGTTGTTACCTATAGATCCCACCAATCATATTCAATCGCTCAATAAGCATGCCTAGCTACTTTATCATCTTGAACTTGCGTAATGATTCATTGGCTGCATTCAGCAGACTCAACAGTTGATGTATGCTTCCAGATCTAAAATGCTGATTGGACAATCTGAAAGAATACATTAATAACAGCGAGCGTTCATTCAACTGTTGAGTTCGCTGAACGCAGCCATTGGGCGCATTGAGTGGACAAAATAAACACATGATAGAAATTGACGAATATTAAATGTAAATTTTGATTACGTGACTTATTTTGACTGAAAATGAGCATCAGAATAAAAAGGCATCTTCAAAAATTTATTTCGAGCTAAAGTTCCTAGGAAGCATGTTTTTCTATTGGATAATGAACAGAGTCATCTAATGGTAAACACTAACACCACCAAGTTCAATGAGATCTAACCTATTCAAGAGTCTCGAGAAATCTCGAGTCTCGAGATACTCAGATACTGTTGCGGACCGGTTGTCGGTGATTGTGGCGTACGTTTATTAATATCATTATTCTAATTTAGAAAATTAAAATTGTTTTATATTTTTATACGTATCAAGATAAACACAATTGAACAAAAAGAATGACTGCTTTCGAAGGTATGATGTTTTTAACAAGTTACTTGTAAGCTTCAGCTTGTGTAAAATGTCAGTTTGCCTAACAATTGTTATATCATTTTGAATGAGATCTCTTTTATGTTTTTAGAAATGGGCGTTTTGCCGGAAATAGGCAAAGCAGTTGATGAAATGGAATGGACGTAAGTAAAGATGGGCTATTTTGTAATGTAACTTTATGATTTAATTTTAAATGTCATATATTGGAGAAAAAAGAAAATATCCTTACTTTTAAAAGAATGCGAATTACAGACTACCAACAGATGTTCAAGCTGAAGCTATCCCATTGATTTTGGGTGGTGGCGATGTACTCATGGCCGCAGAAACTGGTAGTGGAAAAACTGGTGCTTTCTGTTTGCCTATTTTACAAATAGTTTGGGAGACCCTTAAAGATTTGGAGTCTGGGAAAGGAGCTACTGGAGCTGTAGTTCAACAACGTGTGTATTCAATTTTGGCAAAAATATGAATTTGTAAAGTTTGTTGATAAAAAGTAATAGAAATAATTAAATATTATCTTATAGCGACGCATTGGGGTCTGAGTCTGTTTGATAGAGGACGAGCTATGGCAGTAACGACGGATGGTTTAAGATGTCAGAGTAGAGAACAAAAGGAATGGCATGGTTGCCGTGCAAATAAAGGAGTATCGGGAAGTGGCAAGTATTTTTTCGAAGCAACAGTCACTGATGAAGGTTTATGCCGAATAGGCTGGTCTACATCTCAGGTATTTTCATAAATTATACAATTATCTTATTATTCCAAATTATCTTATTATGAGAAAGATTCATAGAGGATGTTGTTCTTGGAACAGGCTGCCTTAGATTTAGGAACGGACAAATTTGGTTATGGATTTGGTGGTACAGGAAAGAAATCAAATGCGAAACAATTTGATAACTATGGAGAGGCCTTTGGAATGCACGATGTGATTGGATGTTTTCTAGATTTAGTGAAAGGCGAAATAAAATTTACCAAGAATGGCATGGATTTAGGTGTCGCGTTTACATTAAATGCACAGCAAAAATCGCAGGTTTACTATCCAGCTGTTGTATTGAAAAATGCTGAGATGGCCTTCAATTTTGGAGCACAACCATTTAAGCATCCGCCTTCAAATGACTATGTGGCTGTGTCTTCGGCTCCAAAAGAATTTGTCAAGTTTAATACTGTTAATAGCAATCAGAGTTCGTCTAATGAAAGTGGTAAACCAAAAAATAATGCGCCTCAAGCGATCATCATAGAGCCTTCTCGCGAATTAGCTGAACAAACTTACAATCAAATTCAGAAGGTGAATGAGAATTTGAATAAACCATCTGTTATCGAGACTGTATACGTGATATTAATAAACTGATAATTAAATAACTATTTCTCTCTCTTTTTCAGTTTAAGACACACTTAAAGGATCCGACAATCAGAGAGTTACTTGTCATCGGTGGAATAAGCGTAAAAGAGCAGATTGCTGTTTTGAATTCTGGTGTGGATATAGTAGTCGGGACTCCTGGACGATTAGAGGATCTCATACAAGGCGGTTATTTGTTGTTGACACACTGCAGGTAATTTATCATTTAACTGAAAGAAATGATATTAGATCGGAGTAAATTAATTATTGAGGTAAATTAATATTTCAAGATTCTTTGTGCTGGATGAAGCTGACGGACTACTAAAACAGGGTTACACCGAACTTATCGATCGTTTGCACAAACAAATTCCGAAAATTACGTCGGATGGCAAAAGATTGCAAATGATTGTGTGTTCGGCGACATTACACGCATTTGAAGTGAAAAAGATGGCCGTAAGTGCCACGGTGTATTTGCATCGTTCATACATAACATAAATGGTATAATGTATATACATCTAAATAAGCGAATATATAACGTACATTCGAATTTTGACTTTTGAATAGGAACGTTTGATGCATTTTCCAACTTGGGTGGATCTAAAGGGCGAAGATGCAGTGCCTGAGACCGTACATCATATCGTAGTGATGGTAGATCCGCAAAAGGACAAATCATGGCGTAACTGCAGGAATTACATAGAAACTGATGGCGTGCATGCAAGAGACGAGATGAATCGAACAAATGATATTGCCTGTTAGACACTTATCATAATCGTTAGATAATAATTCTATTCTCACGCGATAAAAATAATTGAGTGATGTTCGAATAATTACACTCGTCCTATATAGGTACGTTGTCAGAGGGTGTAAAGATATTGAAGGGAGAGTACTGTATTCGTGCTATCAAAGAACATAAAATGGACCGGGCATTGATATTCTGTAGAACAAAACTCGATTGCGATAATCTCGAAAGATACCTGAAAAAATCTGGTGGACAACAATTTTCGTGCGTGTGTCTACACGGAGACAGAAAGCCCGGAGAGCGTAAGGCTAATTTGGAAAAGTTTAAACGCAAGGAAGTAAAATTTTTGATTTGCACCGACGTGGCTGCTAGAGGATTGGATATCACTGGTTTACCTTTCAGTAAGTAGTTATTCAGACAAAATCCTGAAATAAAAATACCTTACGTTACTTATGGATTACATGTTTTTTTTTTTTTTTTTTTAGTGATAAATGTGACGCTGCCCGACGAGAAGTCTAATTATGTGCATCGCATTGGAAGAGTTGGTAGAGCTGAGAGAATGGGTCTGGCTGTTTCTTTGGTCAGTAGCGTTCCAGAAAAGGTATGGTATCACGGCGAATGGTGTCCTTCTCGCGGAAGAAACTGCAGCAACACCAATCTGACCGATCAAGGTGGCTGTTGCACTTGGTATAATGAACCTCAAGTACGTACAGTTGCTACTTTTGATTCGAAACAATCCGTAAAATAATTATATACATGTAAAACTCGATTAATACGGATGAGCATTGATATTTCCACAGTACTTGGCAGATATTGAGGATCATTTGAATGTAACGATTCAACAAGTCGGTCCAGATATAAAAGTGCCAATGAACGAATTTGATGGAAAAGTCACGTATGGCGAAAAGAGAATGACGATGGGTATGTAATAGTGTTTCTCGTTATGTTACAACAAACAATTATTAAACGTTTGTGTATACCTCACAGGTTCTGATTACAAAGATCATGTCCAGCAAATGGCCCCTGTTGTGGTCGAATTGGCCGCGTTGGAATCCAGAGCGCAGCTTGCGTTTTTAAACATGCATATGGCGGAGCGTTAAAGTGAAGTTACTCAAAGATATTTAACGACTGAAATTCTAATCGAGTCTCGCAATTCTAGTAATATAGAATTCCAATCTTAGATGTTAAAGGAAATTAATTAATTAGTTGTTACTTTTAATTTAACATCTATTTAAAAATGTATTTTATCTTTATCATTGCTATTATTATTTATCTTTCTGTACTTGTGTACATTTCTAAAACTTTTTTCGCACTTGTAAAGTCATATAGCGCATTGCACAATGAAAATATAAATGTAAAAAAATGAAATTGTTTCTCTGTCTTGTTTGATACATTAAAACGATGTGCAATATTATGTGTGCGTGCGTGCGTGCGTGTGTGCGTGCGTGTGTGTGTGTGTGTGTGTGTATGTGTGCGCGCGCGCGTGTATACATATGTCCTAAAATTCACGACTTTCAAAATACTACAAGAAAGTTTTCAAAAAGTTAAAAGTTATGTGTAAATTTTTATTTTGCGATATACATTTTTGGAAATATAACGATTTAAATATAATCAATTATAAAATGGTAGTCATCTATAAGTGAGCACCTATAAGTATTAGTGAACCAACATTCACTAATTCTATTGCACGCGCAACTCATGGGCAGACGGCCATCTAAATGTAATCTGTAATTGACCATAATTAAATTTTTATTATCTCAAAAATTGATGTTTAAAATAAAAATTTATAAATAACTTTTTTTACTCAATATTCCGAGAACTTTCTTGCTAGAGCATTTTGAGTCGGGAATCTTAAGACACCCTATGTATATGTCCTATAAAAATTGAATTTGACAGCCAATTGCCACAAAGGCATCTGTCATTTATGTAAGATACAGTAAGTATTTATTGTATCGTTATAGCCTTAATAATTATACTTTCATTTTACACATCGTTTTAGTTACACAGATGTAGAGTACATTGGCTCTTCCTTTTTGCTTTTTTATAGCTGCATATGTGCGTGTGTGTGTGTAAGTATATACATATATGCATGATTGTGTGTGTGT